ATGATTAAAATAGAATACAGTAAATCATCGATGAATGTTCGAAGGCTCCTCCACACTGACAAGAAGAGATACCCACGTGTAACGCTGACTTTTTAATGATATATGACAAAGCGATAGAGCTTGAAATTCTGAAGCCAATGATATTTGTTTCAGCCGTAAATGGCCATTAGTTTATGAAATATCTAATATTCAGTGGCGAGGAGCCTTCGAACACACACCGAGGATTTACTGTAGGTGTTTAAACTATTTCGATAAGAGTGTAGAGTTTCAAAAAAAAATAGTGGACTACTATTATATTGTTACACCTAATACAATGTTTTACAGTTAATCACACAAGTATTCGACCAGCATAAATTATATCAAAAAGCAAAAAGCTATATCAAAATCTATTGTTAACGAGTATTTAATGTAAAATAAGCTAATAAATGTTTATTAAAAATAAGTTTTGATAGTTTCTTATTTCCATACGTACAATTCCCCGCAAAATTCGCTTAATGCCTAAAGTGGACGAATGGTTTTGTGACAAACTGTATACGATCGTGATCGCATCGAAACAGATCAAATAGTGATATACCTGATGAGAAAAAAGATTTCCAACAAAATGGACACTCCAGTGAAGTTCGATAGACAAATATCTGAACTCACTAGATAGCTCAAACCGGAAAACGTGATGTTTTACAGGAATTTTTATATGAATTATTTATAACGTCAAGCCCTTGGAAATTGTAGATTGCAAAACGATTGATGCAGATGATCCAAAAAAAAGTTCTTTCTTTCTCAGATTGCGAGTTAGTAATACAGCATAGTCGATTGGAGTATCAAGCCTAATGATAAACTCCACTCTACTCTGAGCCAACAATGACGGTTCCTTTTTTGATATTATAAAATCGCGGTATTATCTGGCGATCTCATTAATGCAGGACGCGCTGATCAGAATAAACACGAGAATATACCACGGACAATGAGAGACAAAATATGAAAAGAAATATTCTCGGCGTCTACGATTGGATGAACTCTGAGGTCGCCTGTCATTAACGCCCATCGATGAGATCGCGTGTTATCCCGAGTTAGCGTCCCAACAATAAGATCAACAGTCGCACAATGCAATTATCATTAACACCGTATCCTTTTGCGTTTCCACCGTACGAAACACTAGTCCTACAGTCTCCAGCGAGCCAAGACTACCTATTATACGGTTGTTCGCCATTTTTGTAGATACAAATTGCTACTCATTGTTCGCCATATAAGATGCGGAGCGGCTAATGCCTGGATCAAATCAATCGGAACAATGATAATTAGATTGCGGATTTTGTGATATATAGTATTCACGGTTGTCTGAAACCACAGCACAGTAAGATGTTCAATAATGTTTAATGCAGGCTTTTACTTCACTTGCAACATTATTTGATCGAGTGAGCAAATTTTTTATTTATTTCTCTTCCTCGAAATTAGTGTATGGAAATCGATTTAGGGGTAAACGCACCAATGAATGAACACTCAAGAGATTTTGTAACTATTAAAGTTCTATTTTAAATGATATTAATATTAATAAACATCTGGCACATGAAAATTCAATTTTGTAATATTTGCACTTTTTTATAACGTATACATGTCAGTTTGTAAAATTAGAAATATGTAATTAATTAAATTATAAAGAAAACATACAAATTTCACCAGTGAATGAACAATATTAAGTAAATGAACAGTTCTAACCAGTTGTGCGAAAATTGTTTGCATATGAGACAAAGAATTGAAAAAATCAATATTTAATCTTTTGCTTATTTTAACTCCATTTACTCATTTTTATGTTATAATGTTCACTCACTACTACGTGTTCATTTAGTGGTGTAGCCACCCTATGCATAAATATCCGTAGTTTAATATAATTTTTAGAAAACTTGGTAAAATGAAGTAACAGGAAAATCAATCTTCTTCTCTTGTTAGAAGATTACGATCTGGATGAAAGTATATGAACTAAATTTAGATTTTTTTGTCTAAACCAAAGAATATTTTTGCACTGACTAACATTGTAATATGACACCAAATAAATAAGAAATTTTATGTCGTATGTTCCTTCCTTCCACTGAAGAAGAAATATTTATTGAGGGAAAACCAGACCACTGGTCGTGAGATCGCGAACGTTTTTCGCAAAACGGACTTCAGGACTCTTACCTGATTTCACTCAGGTAGCGTCGCGTTTAGAATACAATACAATCACAACGGGTCTACGGTGCAACGTTGAACAATATTTACCGGACCATGTGACCAATATACACATTTTGAATAGGCACGACGGAGTACACTTTTATCACACCGCCTTATTGTTTCTCTCAAAACGTTTTTATATACATAGTCCATTCCTGTCCCGTTCAAACAATAGAACGTAGTCAAATACTCTATTTTTCTAGCTTTTTCCCATTTACATATTTAATTCTTTACACCCTGCACTATTACTATTACAAAAGAAATATTAGTAAACGTTAGTTAAGCAGGAAAAAATTACTATAAATACAAGTTATAATATAACAAATTTTTTATTTTCAGTAAAGAAATGTTTTACGATCTGGAAGCTATAAACTCGATTTTCAGTTGGAAAGAAAAATAAAATGCATGTCTCGAAATTATTCCTACAAATATATTAATAATAGTTTCATAATGAATTCGTGATTTAAAGTTCTATTCGTTAGTTTAAAGTCTGTACAAATTTTCTATCGGAATAACGAGACACTAGTATATTGTACGCGCTATAGAGGCAAATTCCTGTATGATTAAATAGCAGTTAGTAGCATTATCATCGTGATAATTTATAAGAGTAATTCCCAGGACGAGTGGCCAATAATTTAAATTTGTTTCCCGCTCGAATCGTCGTATTCATTCCATGGAACGAGCATTTGCATAATTTATACCGTGTATCAGGCGTATTTACCAAATCAACGACCTCTAAACACCTACCGTCGATCCACAGAAGCGTTTGCACGTCTCCTGGCGGTAATAAAGAAGCATAATTGCTGTCGATTTTGCATAAACTGGCTGAGAAAATGGAGCGAACGCGACTAGTTTGCCTTTAAACGCTTGGATTACAGAATTTTCATTATCCATTAGACTTGTAATCGCGGTCAAATGGAATCTTGATAGATGTAATGGCAACATGAATTTTTAAATAAATATCAAGCTTTAAACTTTAAATATATTTGAGTGAAGGGAAGAGAAAGGTAGTAAAGTATTCGATGAAATCTCTAACTTATATAGAAACGTAATAATTATGGTAACTGAAACTTCATGCTGAATATAACATTAATTTCAAGTAAGTTAAAGCTTCGATAAATATTGAAATAATTGTTATTGAATAGAAAAGGGTACAATAAGTATTGAATGAAATTTCTAATTCAATAGGAACGTAATAACTACAGTAACTAGAATTTTAAGCTGAATATAAAATTAATTTCAAATTAATTTTAATTCGATAAATATTTAAATAATTGTTTTCGCGTAAAAATTCATAAATACAGGATTAACCATAACTGTACATTAAAATAAGCTAAACAAATTTCCAATTGAATTTTACCATACCCAGGCTATTGTTGCATAAAAAAATTTGATTCTACTTCCTACATTGTCTGTTACGTAAAATCGTTCGATATATCGCGATTTAAACGAGTTCATCGTACGCTGTGTTCCCACGTGAACCCGTCCGATGAACTCGAAATTTTATTTTGATGGTCTCAAGGCTAGCCGTCCCGCGACATTCAACTCTATGTAAACAATCGAAACTCTCGAATTCTCGCTAGAGTCGACACACGTCTCATCCGTTCGCGGAAATTGAAATTCAACCGGTCGAAAGCATCGCCATCTTTAAACAGTAGCAGTACAGATGCCGCAAAACGAGAAACCACGAACGTAACAGAGGCTCACTGAAAAATGAAGGCAACACGATCCGTTTCGCGAATGTTATATCATAATAGGACATAGATTAACAAAAGAATGGCGGTTGCTATTTGGAAGTTCCCTTGGCAGCGACCAAGGCTTAGAACTCACGGAGTATTTCGTTCATAAATTTCGGCGTAAAGAGCGGCATTTTAGAATTTTGTTCTGCTCGACGTGAAAGCGCTTTCATGTACAATTTTTCTAACAATTTTAGTTGGTAATGTCTAGATTGCGGATTTTATGCATTTATAGCCAATAGGGCTTTGTGTAATACAAGAGAGAAAAAACTTTCGTTAGATACAATGTGTTTTCTACTTTATTCTGAACACAATATTTCAGAAAAGAAAAATATTTCTATCTTTGCTGTTGTCTTTAAAAATGTCATTTTGCATAAAAGTCCGCAGTCTAGTAATGACTATCGAATTGAATATTTTTAGCACAACGGATGTTTGCGTTAAATAGTAAAGAAGAACCAAATCGTTTAATTCTAATTTGATGTACCTAAATTTAGTAAGTAGTTAACGCAAGCGATTTTAGAATCTCTACATAAATTAGGTTTCCTGAGGTGGTTCAGTTTTGAATCAGGAATGACAAAATCATATTTTATGCCGGTGTTTGTAAATTCATAAATCCTAGTTTTCATTAATTTGTTAAAGGATGTTAGAGTAATTAAATCTCCATGATCCATTACGATATTATATTTCTGTAGCACGCAAGCAATTAGACGATGAATAAATAATAATTCAAACTCATGGAACATTTGGTAACATAACATCTTCTTGTAACGCAGCTAGTAGCCATTTAAGAAAACAGCACAAAAATTTCTTAAGAATAACCTTCGCATTAATGTGGCTCTTTATTTTTCGCACACGCGTGTATCACATTTCGAGGTTAATTTACACAATAACGAAGCAAGTTTGCACAGCAAAACGAATCTTACAACTAACAATAACTTCTCACGTGTCATACATCATTACAAGATGTCATCAACTTTTTCAATTCAACATTTAACCAACGTTCATTTTAAATAAAATCCAACGATTCACACAAAAAATATTAATACCAGTGTCACTCACCTCTGACTAGAAGGTTACTCCACAAATCAATGCATACTAAACCAATGAACGATTCATATAGGTAAACGCGAACCGCACAAACGAGCACAATAAACGAAATTTTCTTTTAATTTACTAACGAGCTGAACGTTTCCGATAAATTTGTATTTCGACGCCGATCGTCGCGCGATTCGATGACGTGTATGTCTCTGTGTATGATTTATCGAATTTGAACTGGAGCTATCGGAGCGTAGATGCGCACACCGGCACGACTCTGTCGAAACTGGCGAGCGCAAGAGCAGCGGCGGGGAACTCCCTGGTTCCCTGCCTACGCGCGGATGCACGTGGGTTCCGGGGAGGGGAATATCGAGGGCCCCCGTAGGTATACATATAGTAGTAGGTATTCGCGGATAGCATTTTACCCGGTGGGAACCAGGGTGGTGTAAATCATTCGCGCCCTTCGCGAGGTATTCCTTTTTCCCATTTCCTTCTTCGGAGGAATCCTTCGAACCTCTCGGTACGATCTTTGTTGTTCCGTTTCTGTCTAGAAATTCCCGTCTCTTTTTTTTTTTCGCGGTATGACGCTTGAAATTCATCCGCGATCATCACAAAGGAGAACGAAATGGAGCGATTGATCATTGATTATTCGTGAAATATGTATTTTTTTTTTATTCAGAAGAGTCCTTCGAACCTCTGGGTACGATCTTTGTTGTTCCGTTTCTGTCTAGAAATACCCGTCCCGAAAATTCGTCCGCGAGCATCACAAAGGATAATGGAATGGAGCAATTGATCATTGATTATTCATGAATTTTCGTGAAATATATATTTAGGGTACACTTTTCATCCGAGAAACATTTTTTTCCACTGTAAATTTATATTGATCGAAAGTACGTATCGAATAACATGCAAAAATATGAATTTTGAATTTAAGAATCGATCTATTAAAAGTTATTACGCAAAAAGAACTCCGAAATTTTCACGTATTTTCTAATCTTTTATGTGACCAACTATCATACAATACAACCTATATATGAAATACAAACTACATAAATACTAAACACACAGTCTTCTTAGACCCTCGTTTTTAGGATCACCCTCTTTTATACCGTCAAAATCTCTCCAAATACGCAAACAAAATATAATCGTTTCGAAAAATAAAGAAGTTACATAACCCATATTTCTCCCATTCTGGTAGAAAAAGAAAAGATTTCGCAAAATAACTTTTCACCGGAACGATTCCTAAACTGAAAATTAATATCGTTAAACTCTATAGAACAAGTACTTCCCATAAGTATAACTTTCACCCTCCAAAAAAAAGTTTCCCACAGCATAAGTGCACATTGTATTTATTTTTCTTTGTATTCGGAAACGTCTTTCGAATTTTGGTAATCTTTGTTATTCTGTTTGTGTTTAGAAATTGTCTTCCATTTTTGCAATATCGCACAGTGCTCCAGATTCAAAATTCAGAAGTTCATACATCTGTTTAGCTTAAGAAATCGAAAACTTTGAACCTTAGAAATTTTATTCAAATAGGAGTAGACGAATGAACAAATTATTATAAATTTTAGGGATCATCTTCGATGATGACATCATTCACTAACAGGGTTCCTAACATCCTTATGAAAGTCTGAATTTTTGAGAAATTTTTCTGACTGACATTGAGAATACGGAACGATCAGAGGAGAACAATAATACATTGAACAAATCCTCCATAGTTAATAATAAGGCGACGTGAATTTTTTGGAAGATAAAAGAAATTTTTCTTACCATTTGATCTACGAAATTTTGATTCTAGACCACTTTGTGGCGGTCAAAATTCGGCTGCAAGAGTCATCAAGCAATTCATCATGAGGAAATTGCTTATTCGTAATGTCCGCGAATGATTTCTTTTTTCTTCTTCGGATTCTTCTTCGGCAAGCTTTGTTATTCTGTCTCTGTCTACATAAATCTCTTCCTTTTTCACGATGACGCTTGAAATTTGTCTGCAAGAAACGAAAAGGAGGGTAAGGTTGAGTGACTGATTATGATTAGGTCTCTCATTCGTACCCTTTACGAAGTATTTCTTCTACTCCTTCATAAAATAGCTTCGAACCTCGGTAATCCTTTATCTTCTGTCTTTGTCTAGAAGTTCTCTTCTTTTTTTCGAAATGACATTTTCTTTCTATCTAAAGGTTCTATTTCCTTTTGCAATAACGATTCAAACTCGTTCGAAGAAGTCGAAAATAACGATAAAATCCAGCGATTGATTACAATTAACGAATTGCAAATGTTTATGTACTTGTAATTTTGTGTGAATATATACAAACTCGGAATAGTCCTTATAGTTTTATCTTTCATTTTTACAGTCGATGAATGTCTTTTATCTGTGTTGGTATGATTTTTTTCAAGTCGTCAAGCATAGAAAGAGAATGTAATGTTACATAAGCTTCTTTGTACAACTTGTATGATTTGCAAGTTATCGAGTAGCAAGAACAAGAAGAATGTAATATACACATTAAGAGTGTAAAGTTAGAATGCAGTATTTTCATTTAGAATCTTGCCCCGTGCATTCACTATTACTTTCCTTGATAGCAATGAGAAGTGCATAGAATTGCATCATCATTTACTATTCTAGTAATTGGTAGTTTCTTGAAATACCTACACAATATTTTCATCGTTGAACGAAAATGTATTGAATCAAAATTTAAAAATACATTTTATGCATAGGTGATACTCAAATAATTATTAGACGTTTTTCTTTCTGATTTATACAAAAAAAAGTAAGACCAATGTGTGGAAAATTATGTGTACGTCGAAGTCTTTTTATAATTATTATTTTTACCTCCAATTTCAGAAAAAAAGTATACAAACTAAATTTAAAATACTATACAAACATTAAAATATTTCATATTCGAAATGGATATTTTTTTTATTTCAACAGAATTTCTGAAACTATACCGCACTTATATTTACAGTTAGTTGATATATAAAATGATTAGCGCAATTGGTAAAACTAAACCATTAAAGAAAAAGAATACGTTCCAGAAGGAGTGCATGAATAATTGAGGAAGTGGGAGAGTTATCTTTCACGTCCTGCTTTGTTAAAAATTAATCAAATACAAACGGATAAAATATAAATCATACGTGAGGTCATATCCGTTACTAGAATATTCTATGCAAAAAAGACAGAGAAATTTCAGTTAGACACATGGAATGCAATAAAAGACATAATATAACTACCCAACCAGTGATTTTTATCCTCAATTTTTTTACTTTATAATCTATAAAATTATGCAAAAATTAAACACAATTCTCACATCAATCATAGTGTCTTACAATGTCGTAACCATAGTTAAGTTCCATCGACAGAAATTGATCATTTCTTGCGCAAGGTATGATGCTGTGCATCGAATTTCACTTTTAAATCTGCAAAATCCCCGAGGCTCTTGAAAAAAATCGCAGACTCATCCAGACGCCAGGTCGTCCGTTTCTTGAACCGTAATTTCTTCGACGAATCAGCAGGATCAGAAAGGTCGATTCCGTGTCCAACTAAAAAAAAAGCACACAAGAATTATACACGTCGTACAATGTACGCCGAAGTGGATTATATTTCAAAACTGTGTAACAAACTCGATTCAACCCGGTTCTAAGGCAGCTTTCAACGACCCTATTGCATCGCGCGCGCGCGCCTGACTTCTAAAAGAAGACGGAATAAACGTAAGAAGAAACAGAGGGGAACAGGTTCTAGATTCATTCACATCCCCGCGAGGCCTTGAAGCTCGGGCAAGAAGCGCTCTATGCAGTTCCTACCATAGACTTCGTCCAGTATTCCAACCGGTAACCGCGAAGGTATATACATAACTCCTCTTGTAAAATTGTCGAACGAGAAAAGAGATGGGCAAATTTATTATCTGGATAAGAAATTTCGAATAACGAATAAAAAAGAAACGTACTTCGTCAATTTTTGTTATTTGTTAAACGTGAAAATTCCAATTTTGTATAATAAAATATACATTCTTCTTTGAACGACCCCGTATTATACCAGTCTCGAAAAATTACGGTATAAAATCTGACATAGCTCCAACACACACAGGATTACATGAGAAACAGAATAAACTATGAAACAGAAACAAATATGTACAGCAAAATATGTGACGTGTTCTGGTAATAAGGCGTTAAGTGCGAAAAAATTGATTTTCACTTTTTCAGGGTTTTTAATCCGCAAAAGTATGCTCTTTGCAATGCAACCAATCCAAATTTTCTAGAATAATTATTGACTTCACGATTCACAAATAAAGTCAAGTATTAGTAATGAAAATAGAGCATTGAATTAAGTGGTTGTACCAGCTTCATTATTCAGAAATAATAGTAGTAGTGAGTTACAGAAGTATTCGTACCCTTGCAATAATTATTCTTGCATTCGAATAGTTAATATTCCTTAACAATATACAGTCTGAAACGTTTATCAATAAAGATGTATTCTGCAATAACAAAGCTTTCGAATGATACATCATTAATTGAAAATAGTAATATACGTAAATGGAAACTTAGCAAATCGTCGAAAATTTAATCTCATAAAAGTATTTTAATACGTACAATTTAAAGGGCCACAGGAAATTTACAAAGATTTACAAATATTTTCATTCCACGTGGATACAATGTTTACAAGTACGAATACTTTTGTGAGCTTCATTTATATTACTATGAATTATTATTTTTCAATAAATGACGCATAATTCGAAAGCTTAGTGATTGCACTACATATTCACATTAATAACCATTTCAAAATATATATTATTAAAGAATTATTAGTCATTCGAATTCACGAATTGCGAGGGTACGAATACTTCTGCGACCCAGTGTACGTACATTGTAGTCATTGTACTCTGATCATCCTCAAATGAAATACGTAACACCATCCAGCTGGAAATAACATCAAAGCGTAAGAAAAAACAGCAGAAAACAGAAAAGCATTTATTTCAAAAAGTCATTTTCGCATGTCAGTGTCTTTTTACCAAAGCACGTCATATATGTATAGTCTGTCCAGATCCAGCATCGTCGCTAATGACCTTGCTGTCGATGCGACATAAAACGGACAAGAAGAAGACTACTTCATCTTGAATGCTCGACTAGACTGCTCGAGTACAAAGAGTTGCGGCAAAGTACAAACGGACAAATGAAATTTTGTC